TCAAAACTGCAAAAATAAAAATACTCCATGTTCAAAAAACTGAAATGGAAACTTCAAACTGGAACATTCTGCTGTAGCTCTCTTTCAAAGAGAGTCAAGAAAGAGAGCATGTCTGCAGAAATGCAGGTGACAGAAAACATTTTTAGAACAAGGAAGAACTCTATCACAGGAAACATCTAACTGGTGCAATAAAAAAGCTCTTCAGTTTGAATTCTGCTTCTCTGGAACATAAGACAGAAGCATTCAAAGGCTTCCAGACACAAGCAACTTATCCCTATCCTGCATGTTCAGTCGCTGTGGTCAGTTCTCTGTTTTTCAGGATGCTAAATTAAGGAAAAGGAGGATTGTTCCTGCTGCGAATTCTCTGTCACAATGCTCAGGATAATCTTGACTCTGAAACCAACACCACCTTTCTGCCTTCCCTGCCCTGCAGGCTCCTCTCATTGACTAGGACCACCTTGAGGGAAGTGCTGGCTCGGACTGGGAGTGACCAGGGGGACACTGGGACCCTTTAAAAGCTCAGCTCCCCTGTGTCATCCTCCCTCACCTCCTTTCTAGAGGAACTCCTGAATTCCAGGCAGCACTGAAAGTTACTGGTGCTAAAGGCACCTCTACCCCAGAAGGTCATTTTGAGTCCACTCACTGTCTCTGCCCTCTGCAGTGGACCAAAGGGAACCTTTCTTACCTTTTTTAGCTCAATACATGAGTTGCAGAGAGAGATGCAATGACAGTAAAGGGGAAAACATGCAGAGCTGCATCACAAACCAATTCATCAGCAAACAGAGCACGCCTGCCTTACAAATTTGCCTGCAGCTCTTGTCTGCTGTGTTATTTTTAAACTGCCTGCAGGTTGCAGATTTTTCAGTGGTCCTTCTCCTACTAATGTACACACAGGATTTAGCAAGGCACAACTTTCATTACTGTGAATTTAAGTTACCAGAATTCCCAGCACATTAAAATTCAGCATCCTTCATCTTCCCACAAACTTCTTGCTGCATTCACAGGAGGACATCCCGTGTCCCCTGCAGCCTCCTGCATGGCAAGGTCAGTGTGACTCAGCCCTGCATCCCTGATGTTCCCAGCTGCCCTTCCTCAGCCTGTGGAATGCATCCTGCAGTTGCTGGGATCAGCAGGCATCCAGCTCCACACTCAGATAAACCCAACTCACTGAGCCCAGTGCTCAATTTTAAAATATCACCCAGACATGATCACCTCAGCACCAGCCCCAGCTGCTGTAGGAACAGGGCTGTGGCAGCTCAGGGCACTCTCCCATCACACAATTCACAAATCTCCCAGCAAACCTGCCCCACTTCTGTGGGAGGCTGGCTGGAATGGAGGCAGGGTCTGACATGTGCAAATGTGAGAGTTTCTGTGAGCAGAAAACCTTCACAATGATTGCACAATTCCCACAGAGAGGGGAATTGCAGGAAGAGTGCTCTATTTATGGCACCACAATGTTTTAAGGAAGAAAGCAAGGGGGTGTTCTTCACCACAACTGCTGCTGATGTAAACAGAAGCTGCAGATGCTCAGACTTTCTGAGGGGTCAGACCCTGGAGCCAAATGTAATGAATATTATGGTTTGTTTGCTTCTTCTTTGTTGCCTGGTTGATTGTGCAGCCCAGAGCCGCACTGCAGAGCAAAGTCACTTTGGAACCTCTCCCCCCTCTGACTGGGGATGTCTCAGACATTAACCCACTCACACTGCACCACTGCCAGGAGATCTAGAAATCACCCCAGCTAGCACTGTCAGAGGAACTTGCCCATATCAGCAGCAGGGGCACAGCCACATTGGTGTCCACCCCTTTGGCACACACAGAGCAGGTGAGGAGTTTGTGAAATGGGAGGGGTTTGTTCTGGGGCTGAAGCTCCAGCACAGGAGTCTTTGCCCTCACATGTGTACAGCAAGGAATTTAAAGTAATTTTGGCATAAACAGCCAATAAGCTTCAGCCAGAACAAAACCCTGTGGCCCCACAGGGCTGAGGATTGCCTGCTTGTGGGGCAGTGAGGGCAGCGGGCTGGCCTGGCTGTGCTGGGCTTAAACTGCTGCTCCCTGGACCCTGACAGTGACTGTGCCTCATCCTTCCACATTGCACAGAGAGTTAAGCTGCTGCTTGCTTCCCCCTGCTGATTTGGAGAGTCATGGTTTGGCTCTTGGCTGTTTGTATTTTGCAGACATCCCCTGTGTAATTGCATGGCCTGGCCCCAGGCTGTCAGGCTCTGGGAGAAATAACCACATTATTCCACAGAACAGTTAGCATAATTAAAATATTGACTGCAGATTAAAAAAATATGCTGAATGTTTCACAGAGTGGTTGGAGGGTTGGCAAGCCTTGGCAGCTTGTTGGCTGCAGGAGCTGGCTGATATTTAGGAGTGCCTTCTCCTCCAGCAGTCACTGCTGTACGTGGGAACTGCTTTTTGTGCTGTCAACTTCTGATCTCCCAGGCAGCCAACCCACAACCAGGAGAAAATGAACTGACTGGAAATGAGGTGCTCCAAGGGCTCTCTTGTGATTCTCATTGCCAGTGAGACCACTGCCTTGTTATTTAGGACTTCAGGACATCTCTCTTGCTGTGTCTCTATCAATTTTTGTGTCCATCTCTCTCAATGCACAGTATAGAAGCTGCATATGGTGAAAAGCACTGCTTGTACCATATGAGAATCATTAATAGTTAAAAAGCCCACAAAAACCTCCACTGGAACATATGTTTTATTTGCTGTTCCTTCTTTGACATTGGATTTGTACCTGTGTTTCATTTGCAAGCAAAGTCTTTGCATTTCCACAACCAAGAGGGCAGAAAGGGAGGGAAGAAATGCAATTGGCAGGGCTGGTGCAAACAACAGAAGCACTGAGGGAAACCTCAATGTCCCTGTGATATCTCCCCATTCCCCTTCTTAGGGGAATATCTGGGACCATGAGCATTGCTGGAGACCCACAGGTTTGGTTCAAATGATTTCTTGGTTTGTTGTATGTCTGTATCTTTGTGTATCTGGCAAAAACTTCAAATGATCCCATACTACCAGTATTAAACAAAACATGTGGGGGATTTCTGACCCACTTTGCAGACACCTCCGTCCCAAAGGAAACACAGCAGAGCCAGTGAATCAGCTTCTTGTTTAATCCTCACTTCATGCTTGAGAAGCTCCTGCCCTGGGAGGAGCAGCAGTGCAGGGTGACAATGAGCAGGGACAGCTGAGCTGAGCTTGTCCCTCTCCACTGCAGCTCCCAGGGACAGGGCTCTGATTCACAGCCTCATCTACAGCTACTTGGGGATGAGCTAATTTCATGAACATTTCTATTTCCACTCAAGAGGTGTCACAAGAAATGACCAAATGCTATTTCCTGAGGCTTCTATTACAGCTTTAAAGTGATCATAATAGCAAGTTAATAAGAGATCTACTCTGCCATTTTCCATTCTCATTGCTATTGCTGTAATCAAGAGCAGCTCTAATTCCTCAAAGCTTATTTCTGTGGTACTTCTCATTTTTGAATACACTGCTAGGAAAGGAGCAGAATATCTTGGCACTCCAGCTGTGGTCTGTAGGCTACTGCCTTCCTTCTGTGCAGGGCTCATTGCTATTTTCTGCTCTCAACTTAATCCTGACCTCCAAATTGTAAATTATAAATATCACCTTGGGTAGGCACCATGCGTTCAAAGGAAAAAAAATTATTACTTTAAATCTCTTGTAAATTAAACCCCCAGATAAACTGAGTGGAATGAGAAAAAAGGTGCTCTAAATTCAATACAAAGAAAGAGAATTTCACTGGGCATGCATGATGTGTGTGGGGAATTGTCACAGCTTTTCTCTGCTCTAATAGTTCATATAGCCAAGTTTTAGTTTGTCTCCACTGAGTGATTCATCTCTATTACCAGTATTTTCAAAATTAAATGGAAGAGGAGGAATGTGTTGATTCCCCTGCTGTGTTTAATAATCTTCCAAAAATTGTTTCCTGTTTACTTGGAAATCCCCACCTCCATGCTGTGATTTAGGCATTTTCACCCTGTTAACTTAAAAACAAAGCCTAGAAGATGCTGGATATGTATGATCTTGCAGTCATGAAACAATTTATGATAAATGTTGCTGTTCCAGAGAAAAATTACTTGGAAATGTACATGTGTTCATAGCTTCACATTCCCAATTTAAATCTTAACTGGTTGTTGGGAAAAAAATACAAATTGCTGCTCAGTTTTTATTTCTGTAACAGGTCTGATGGCAGCTTCTCTTTCAACAATTACTGCCCTGGTGCTGTAATACAGATCTCAGTAAAGCCATCAATAACCCCATTTAGGGGACTGTCCCACTGTCCTCTGACACTGGCTGGCACACAACTCTGAATACTCAGTAGCTATTGTTTCATGCAACACTTGTCTATAAGCAAACTTGTGGTGCATTTTCAAGGAAAATTATTAAAAATACCTAAATTGATTTTCCAGCTGAAGCATTATCTCTGAATTCCTGTGGCTTGGCTTGGCAAAAAGGAAAGAATTTTCCCCTCAGCTTTCTCAAGGAATAAATTTTCACAGCAGTTCTGAGATTTTACTTGTATAGCACATATCAAACAAGCTCTTCTTTATATAAGATTTGAATTAGCTCACAAAAGTCAGCGTGTTCTGTGTTAGCTCATGTGAAGAGTTCATTTAAAAGGCAGCAATATCCTGTGACCCAGGAACAGAACTGGAATCTGGGGATTCCAAAGGGATCTGAGCTCTCTCACGCTTCCTCTCAGCTTTTCATACAGGTCAGCATTTTTTAAATGAGCATTACATTTATGTGATTAACTGGAGGCCACGTGAGCCTGATTTACAGTTGTGTTAAACTTCCACTCCCCTGTTGAAGCCATGGGGAGCTCTCACCTCTCCAGGGTTCAGGAGGCTGTGGCAGCTCCCTGCAGCTTTTGGGGGGACAGTGGCACCACTGCCTTGGTGAGCACCTTGCCTGCCCTTTGCAAGTCACTGTGGGGTTTTGTCTAACAGGTTTGTCCTCTCTTCCCCTCTCAGATGAGATGGAGCAGTCCCCTGCAGTGCGTTCTGACTACTTGGTCTCAGGGATTCGAACTCCACCAGTGAGGAGGAACAGCAAACTGGCAACACTGGGCAGGATCTTCAAACCGTGGAAGTGGAGGAAAAAGAAAAATGAGAAGCTAAAGCAGACATCTGCAGGTAGGCTGAGAGCAGGAGAGGGATGCTGCACAGCAGAGCTTTCATGGGACATGTTAAAGGTGACCAATTCAGAGATTCCAGCATTCAACAGGTTATTAATGTTTAAGGCTCAGAGGGGCCCATATAGGCTGACTTCCTGTATAACACAATTTAGTACATTTAGAAGGGAAGGTCAAAATATGAGAGTGAAGCACAAGCCTTGCCCCCAGACTGCTTTCCATGGGCTGTCCCTTGTCCACACAGGCTACATTTATGGCCCCAAGTATTGTCACCCCTTTTATTTGGGGTGAAGTTTATATAGGTCAGAGTAACATGATGAGAAGTGACAGGAGGGAGCTGCAGCATGTGAAATGCCTTCCCTCAAGCAGCTGTCTCTGAGGGGAAGGAGCCCAGCACACAGCACAGCATCCTCTCACTGGTCTCCAGAGATGTCCCAGGAGATCAGTCTGGAGACAGTCTCACTTGCATTTTCATAAGATGGGACAGTGCAGTTCCCTCCACTTGCTGCTGTATCCTGTGGGTGTCCCAGTGGAGGACACTGTCCAAGGTGCCACAGTAAACAGCAGGAAGCTCTGAAATCCCTGTGACTGCACTCAGAGTGAGCTGACAGCACCTCACACCATAAACCTCAGCTTTATATGTGATGATTTTTACAAGGAAGAGGCAAAACCAGCTCATCAATCCATGCTCCCCAAGACAACATCCTTGCAGTCGTTTCCAGGCACACAGGAGTTGAGACTAAAGGGAATTTCCACGTTGCCTCTTTCTCACCCCATTACATGACTGCTCTGTTGGTAACTGGTGCTGTGTTGTGTCCCTACTTTGTGCAGTGCTGGAGAAGAAGATGACAGCACGGCAAGGGAGGGATGAACTCATTAAGAAAGGCCTTCTGGAGATGATTGAACAAGGTAAGTAAAAATTCTTCATTTTTTTTTTTTTAATCAGAGGCTCTTTCAGGACAGTAGGAAACACGTATTTTGCAAAAGCAGAATAAAGAAGCAAATGAATAAAAACCTTCAATCCAGAGTGGAAAACTCAGTGTCTGAAGTTAAGGCTTGTCATCCTTCAAGCTCCTCCCTGCTGCAATCAATCCATGCAGTTCAGTGTTTGATGCTCTCCCATCTCCATGCAGCTCTGTGTTCCCTTGGTTTACAGCTGCAGCCAAAGCTGGTCCGTGTGTTTTATGTAATTGCCTAAACCCAGCTCAATCCTTCTGCCAAGAAATCCAGCTCAAGCTGGATAAATACAAACTTCAACATACAGAAGCAGTCAGCTAACATGAACAATGGATCCAGATCCCATCAAATGATCCCAATCTGATGTTTTCAGCTGTTTTTCCAAGTTTGTGGTGTAGGGTGTTACCAGTGCACCTGCTTTTCATTCCCATGGAAAAGCGAAGCATTTAGTGGAGTCATTTTAAAGCTTTCCTGAGTCTAATCCAGAAGTCATGGAAGGAAAGATGATAAAGTGTCAGAAACACTCACAAAGGACATGGTTCTTGTTCCAAAGCCCTGACAGATGCTCAAGGGAGACACAGATCTGGGTGACTGTTCTGTGAGATTAACTGAGCTCCCAGTGTTATGGACAACATCCCAATTGCCATTTCCACCTAAACAGAGATAAACCCCACAAATCCATCTTTACTTTGAAAACATCATAGCGGAAGGCACTGTCATGAAAGAGGACTGGCCTTTTGAGTTTGATTAATCTCACAGATAGAAGCTGTATTCTTGGAAAGTAGTAATTGAGTTTCTTTTGTATACAACAAATGCCATGCCTATAAATAACCCCTGGGACCATACTGATGCCAAGCTGGAGTGAAGCTGAGCAACTGAAGAGTCAGAAAAAGAGCATTTTAAATAGGATTTCTTTTTCCATGGGAGTGAAGCAATTTTAATATTATTCCGTTGGATATATTTTAAATTTTATATTAAATAATCTATCAAACCATTCATTTATTCTAAAATGGAAGTTCTTAGAAAGTTCATTTTTAATTCCTGTCCATTGAAGTCTTTGTATCTCTCATAATTCTAGATAATTACATGTCCTATTAGCATATTAGCATTACTGTATATACATGATCTCCACTAGGAGCAGGAAAGTCCCCTATAATCCATGAATTTGAAGTCATGCTCTGCAAAAAACCAGTAAAACAGAACTTCTGTAGAGCACATTAAGAGGCAATAATGAGGAATCAATAAACCTCTTGCATGCATAAAGAATGGTTGGGAGGAAAAGTGATGCCAAGCAGCAAGATAATTTTAACAAAATTAAAGCAGTTCAAATAAATATAGTCCAGTGAGGTGTGAGGACAAGCTGTGCTTTTAACTAGACAGCTGCAAACAGACTGCTTACCTGTCTGCAGGAAAGCTGCCTGGAGCTCCTAAAAGCATCACACAAATTTCCAGTGCCTCCCTGTGCCCAGAAAGGGAAGAGTGGATCACAGTCAGCTGAAGGACATTGCAGCTGCCTGCAAGTTATTTGCCTTTACAGTGTGTTGTGAATCTCCAGGGTTATTTTATTATATTTGCAGAAGAAGCTTATTAACTGGAATAAAAACTGACCCAAATAATTCTCAGTAAATGATTAGTGCCCTACTTGGACTCAGCTGAAGTGGCAGCAGTTTCAAGGCTAAGTCCTCGTTTATGCAGTTAGGTTGCAATTGTCAAAGCAGCAAAAAAACTGCAGTAAATCCTCAAATCCCTCTATTCCATCAGGCTCTACTCCACTTCCAGGGAGCTGATTCCTGCTCACTTTCATAAAGAGCCCAACTGGGAGGGTGCTGCAGCATGAGAAGCCTCATGCATTTGCAGTAGGTGCCACTCAGACCCGGAGCACAAGACCTGGTAGTGGCCTTTGCAGTGTCCCTGGCAGTGTCCCTGGCAGTGGCTCTGAGCACAGGACTGGTGCAGGATCTGCAGTGCCCTGGGAGCAGCCCAGGGTGAATGGCACTGTCCCTGTGTGGGTGCTCAGTCACCCCGGCAGGTTGTGTCACCCTGTGTTCTCACACAGCCCCCAGTCCTGGCTGGCCATTCACACCATGGCCTGGGCCACCTCTGTCCCCTGCTCCTCTGGGGCTCTGCTCACACAGGGCGGATGCCAGCCTGTCCCTTGATAACTCCTGAAATGCAGCTTCGCTCTGGGAACCAGCTTAACTCCCTGAGAGAGGACATGGGTCTGGAACACAGGGAGGTTCATCCCCAGCCAAGTCCCAGCCTTGCTCCAGTGCTGAGGGCTGGGGTTCTCCTTCCCCCTGGGGCTGAGGTCTGTGCTTTGTCCTGTCCCCAGACCATCTCTAAAATACAGTGTTGGGGCCTACTGGCACCCAAAGCAGCACACCCACTTTGATGTAAGCACCAGCTGATCCTTCCTGCCCCAGAACATCGCTGCTCTGAGTCTCAGAAATGCCCCACAGGAACATCATCTGCCTGCCAATCCTTCAGTAGCCCCTGCCCTCCAAGGGACTGAGACCTGCAGGAGTCTCTGGTGCAGATCCTGTGTGGCCCAGCTGCCTTTCCCCAGGCTGTGAGGGATGCGCAGAGCAGAGTTACCTTGAGCACGTTTAGGGAGCTCCCCCCTCGATGTTTGTCCCCTTGGTGAGCACAAGGCTGATCAGATTTATCTGTGCTTACAGCTCTGGGCAGGGGCTGCCTGTCAAACCACATGGCAGTGGTTCACACACCATGATTATGTACAGGCTGCCTTCACAAGGAGCTGAAATGTAGGCAATGAACTTTTCCCCCCCTCCCCTTCCCTGTATCATAGCAACTGTGCTACTGCAAGGGCTATTTTAAGAACAGTAACTTTTCACCAAACGTGATTATGAGGCAGACTGAGTGAGCTCAGTGTGCAAAAATGCTGCATCCCTTCTGCAGCATCTTTGGGCCAAAATCTGATACCCTCACCCAAAAGCACAAGAAATTACCCTGCAGATTGTCCAAATAGCATCAAAAAGAGGTAACTGTGAATGTTGCTGATTTAAATCAATGTTCAAGGATTGCAAGAAAACACAGCCCTGTCAGGAGCTTCCAGAAAGGAGTGTCCAGGGATGAGAAATACAAGCTGGGAGGTGAAGGGTGGACAGCAGGAACATCCATCAGCATGGAGAGCTGCCCAGGGAGGGAAGTGATTGCTTTCTGTTTCTTTGCAACAGTGATGTAGATCTCGTAAATTCTGAGGGAGTAAAAGAGTAGTTTGTATTCTGAAGACTCTTGCCTGAATAAGAGAATACTAGAAAAGCTTCAGTCCTCAAGATGCATACAGCTGCAGGGATCACTGGCACAAAAATCTTTCAGAGTAAGCAAAGGGAGCAGTTTCTAGGTCTGCATGAGGAAGGATTTGAATTTCTGATCAGCTCAATCACACAGGATACACTTTTCAAAGCTGAGTAACTAAAACTGCTAAAACCCTGCAGTTTGGTAGGAATATGAGCAGCCTTTCCTTTCTGCAGCATTGCTGGATGGCAGCAAGTTGTGCACAGAGCCTGGCACAGCCCAGACATGTCAGACCCACCTGGAATGTGCTGCACCATGGGCTCTGCTCGTGCAAGGAAGGAATTGCCTTCTCCCAGAGACCTCTGATTGCCCATTGCTCTCCCACCTGGCAGCTGCTTCCAGAGCATGGTGGCCACTTGCTGAGGCAGCTGGATGCCCACAGAAAGAGGTGTCTCCTTGAGAAACCTGAGTGGTTTTTGTGCCCAGATAGGCTGGTGCCCACAGGATTTACATCACAGGTGGTTAACACAGAGATCAGGTGCAGCTCTAGGAGAAGTCCCCTGAGCATGAGCAGCTTTAAGAGTCCCTCTTCTCAAGAGGATAGCAGGGGGGCTCAGCTTCCACTGCTGATGGTTTAGCTAAAATGAAATGATGTCTTGTTTTAGATACTGAAGGCAAAGCCTGCACTGGTGACGATGGCACGAGGGTGACACAGAGCGAGGCTCCAGCAGCTGTGTGCCAGGCACTCACCTCAGAGGAGGAGCAGCAGGACACCACAACTGCAGCCACAACAAATATGACCTCCTTTGGTGAGGAGCTGCACTTGGATGAGCTGAAAGAAGATGCAGGTATTGCATATAAAATGTTTTCAAAAAACTGTGAAGTGCTATAAAAATATTTCTGCTGAGGGGTTGAATATGTCAGTGCATTAAAGGGTCAAAGCACCTTGCTCAGCCCAGCACACACTAGGTTAGGAATTGGTACTTAATAGCTGTGATTTTTGAGACTTCTACCAAGCTGAGGAACTACACAAAGCTTGGCATGATGGGATTAGTTGAATTATGAGATGATGCAGTCTTGGCATGCTGCCCCTTTGGTAGCAGCAGCGGCTGCTGTGAAGATGAAATAAGCTTCTCTTAAAAAGATTTCTTAAATTTCTGTGCCAAACCTGAATGTATTAATCCTGGCTCAGGAGAACAATGCCAATACACAGCCCACCACTCTGTCCCCAGCATGCTGCAAACACCAGTGAATTTTGATTCCAGGAGCAGAGATCAGCCAAGCCAGGCTCCTTTGGTGCAGCCCTGCCGAGGCACTGGAGCAGCCAGCACAGCCCAGCAGCTGCAGGGCTCCTTTCACCTCCTGACAACCAAGAAATGCAAAGCTGCAGAGATAATGCTTTATCCTGGTTTGTGAGGACTGTCATGTGGTGATTATGGATTTTCCTGCCCTCTGGGCAATCTTTACACCTTCTCCATCTGCCCTGGCTGCCTTTTGTTCTCTGTCCCACCCCTTCAGGCCCTGCTTTCTTGGGGGTCTCAGCCCTGGCTGCTTCCACCCTCAGAATGGAAATCATTCCCTCACCAGCTGAGGCAAAACCCACTCATCTCCCTGTTCTTACAGCAACCAGATCAAATCTTGACCAGATTACATGTTTCTTTTCTTCTTTCTCTATTCTAGAGCATTTAATTCTCTATCATATTAATTCTCTATTCTCTAACAATATTCTCTATTAATTATCTATCTAATGAAATTTCTTTCTGAACTTGTAATTCTTACCATTGGGACATACTATCATGGAAAGATAGCACTAATAAGGTGTCATGTGTCTAACCTCATGTCTCTGCATAACCCTTGCAGTGTGATTTAAAATTTACCTTACAATGTGTTCAAAATCATGTATTGAAGCTTTCAAAATCATCCCAATTTCTTTCCCTAACCCTAGTTCGTTTTATTGTCTCCCTGAAACAATCTTTCCTGTCTTTTGTATTTCTTTTCCTCCATTTTTGAGGTGTCATTTTCCCAGGTTCCACAAAAAATAACAGTGGGATTACATTCTCCTGTGTCCTTAGTCTGAGAGACTCCAATTTGTAGGAAGTCTTTCTGCCTCTCCTATTGGTGGCCTCTGGCTTTCAAAATAATTATTGCTGATCTTGTCTTTATGTGCTTACTTCTCCCTGTCTGTACATCCTAGCATTCCTGTCTCTAGTAAATGCACCTGAAGGAATTAATTGGGTGGGAAAACTCTTCAAAATTGTCAGTGTGCTGCTAAATGTATTATAATGTTGAGTTTTTGATAACATTTGCCCTTGGGCTCAATCTAGGCCTAATGCAGTGGGTGTCTTTTCAGATTCACATGAATAAGTGACCAGCTAGAAAGAAAATTAATGGATTTGCTTTTACACCCATTGTGTTCTCTGCCATCCTGTGGGATAAAGGCCAAGGAGGGGAAGAGGAGAAAACACAATTTGCAGAATTCATGTTCATGTTAATACGCAGAAAAGAACAGCCAGGGCACAAAGAGGGCACTTTTCCCCACCTAACCTCGCCAATGGGCTTGGGGACAGTCCCAAAGGGAGGATTTCTACCTGGTAATGAGATGGCATTTTGACAAGTGGCACTCCATGAATAACTCTAGTGCTGAGCACTTGGAATACTTTCAGCAGGATAATATTCACTCTGCAGTATGAAATCTGTTCATGGGTTTGTGTGCTCAGGACTCAGCTCTGCCTGACACCCTCCCAGGGCAGGGTGGAGCTCAGGACCCAAAAAGTCTGGCTGGGGCTGGAGCCTTTGGATGCACCTGCTCTGCAGCAGAGCCCCACTGTGGCTGTGCCAGGCAGCCCCTCTGTCCCAGGGGCAGCCACAGGGGAGAGCATTGCTCCCGGGGAGAGCATTGCTGCCGGGGAAAGCATTGCTCCCCTCAGGGGAATGCACTCAAATCTGACTCATTTTCCTCTCCAGCTCTGAACATCTACTGGGGCTCTTGATCTTTCACTAATGTAACCCATTAGTGACTCTGTTTTTCCCCTCCTCTATTACACATTTTGTCTCCTGTGCAATGGGCACAAACACCCAAGTGATGTCACCCTGGAACAAGGCATTTCCCTAGAAGTACATTTTAAAAAATTATTTCCTTCTGTAATTCACATAACTATCCCATACAGCAGCTTTCCTGTCACGACAGATTTCACAAGAACTCCTGGTAATGATGCATATTTATTTTTTCCTGTCTCTTTTGAATGATGAATACTCATTCCTCCCCTTCTAGGCACACTCATTAATCTGTTTGTCAACAAATTAAATGCCATTATCTTGCCAATGCTATTGTTTCCAACTGCCTGAGTGCCTTGGTGCCTCCCCACGCACTCTGGGCACGAGGCTGCTGAATGTTCATTAATACAGAGTTTGAATTCCCAACGAGACACAAAACTGAGCCAAGAAAAGATTTGTGATGCAGCAGCTGCAGGTGCCACTGCAGTGAGATTTTAGGAGATGGCCTAGAATGGTTTGGAGGGAAAGGTGCCCTGGACAGACAATCCAGAGTGCCCAAAGGAGTGGGATTTGCCCAGGAGTTTGGACCTCTCCCATGTTCTGCATGACCCCAGCTCTGGATCCTCAGCACAGAAGACATGGAGCTGCTGGAGGGCCACCAAAAGGATCAGAGGGATGGAACAGCTCTCCTGAGAGGGCAGCCTGAGAGAACTGGGGTCAGCCAGCCTGGAGAAAAGAAGGCTCCAGGGAGATCTTACAGCTGTTCAGTACTTGAAGGGAGCTTATAAAAAAGATGGAGACAAAGTTTTTGATAGGACCTGTTGTGGTACAAGACAGGGCAATGTTTTTAAACTGAAAGAAAGAAGATTCAGGCTAAATACAAGGAAGAATTATTTTATAATGAGGGTGGTAAAACACTGGAACACACTGTCCAGAGAGGTGGAAGATGCTGCATCCCTGGATACATTCAAGGTCAGGCTGGATGGGACTCTGAGCAATTTGATCTCATTGAAGATGTCCCTGCTCATTTCAGGGGATTGGACTAAATACCTTTAAAGGTCTCTTGCAACACAAACTATCCTGTGATTCTGTACTTAGGAGAGATTTAAACACTGATCTCCCCATTTGGATGAGTGGGGTAGGAAAAATAACCCTCATGGCTACTGCTGAGCCCAGAGTGGCTGGAAATGCACTTTGGAGGGAGCCTGGCCATGGCTGGATCAGAGTCAGCCCCCAGGCTCCCTGTGGGTCCCTCACCAGCCCAGGCAGAGCTCAGGCCATGTGACAGTGGGAGCCCAGCAGTGAGGCTCTGTGTGAGTCTGGGCACTGCCAGGGCAGCTGTATCTGAGCAGAATTCAAGGATGCTAATTTTGGACTTCATCACTGAATTTCCACCTGTGTCCTGCTTCACTTCATGCCTTTCTGCATCTATTCCCCTGTGCCCTCATCACAGCCTGGTCAATTTGATGAACTGCTCAGTGATTCAGCCTGCACTAACTTTCACAGCTAAGTGCTTTTGCCATCCTTGCAGAGACAGTCCTGAAATGAGCAGTGCTTCACCATCTCAAACCAGGCCTTTGGAGACTGATTTCTTTGCTTAACTACTTCACCAATTCCCTGTTCCACTCTAACTGCTCAGATCCAATAGCAAATCTTTTTTGTGGCAGGGTCTTTTTGGTTATCAACTTTAACCTCAGAAAATGCTCAACAGCTCTGGAGTCAGGTACAGTAAAAGAGGGCTCAGAAAGCAAGTTGAAACATTGTATTAAATAAGATAAAATTCATATTGGGAAAATTAACACACATCAACTATTGGAAGGTCAGTTTTTAGGTGATACTCTGGGTTTGATACTCCTTGCCCTTTGGCTGTGTGTTCCTAGACAGAAGAGTGCTCACCCAGGAGCTGTGCCACCACAGCTGTGTGCTCTAAGAAAATTCATTGCTGTTCTCAGAAGTTGCTTTGCCTTGCTATCCTCATTATTATAAGAAAAAGGAGAAAAAGATTTTAGGGAAGTAAAGGAAGCTCAGCAGTTTTCTCAGGAACATCAAAACCAACATTTCCTCAATATCCTCATATGTTTGATTTTTCACCTGCCCTGGCTGGTTGGCTGTTTCACACAGTTGCTTTCACAGTGGAAAAGAAGTGTTTCTAGCTGTGTGCCATGTGTTCAGTTTTTCTGAATGTTCCTGGCATTGTCCCCTGGCCTATCATTATTAACTTCATGTTCCATTAATCTTACTCATCTTTCCACCAGCCAAGAAACCTTCAGCACCCACGGAAGAACTGGAAGATGCCAGCCTGCCAGCATCTGAAGACAGTCCACAAGCCTTACTTGTACCTGAATCCACAGATTCCCCCCAGAAGCAGACAGAAAGAAACCCAGCACAGCTTCCCAGCCCTCCATTGCTCCCAGCTCCACCACCTAAGGCAATCTCCAAAATCACCAAGAGCATAACAGGTCAGTCATCACTGCTCAGTAAAGATTTCCCCATCCTTGATGAGTTCACCTCCACAGCACTGTCAAATCCTTTTTTCATGCCTGTTTTGAAGCCCCACACTGCTGAGAATCACTCAGTTATAGTGAGCAGTGACCATGTCTGGCTGCCTGATAACAATGCACTGATCTTTGTACTTCACATATTTATCTGAACCTCTCAGGGAATTATTTGTTGTGAGCCTACAGCACTAAACACACATAAAACAAATCAAACCAACTGCAAACATCTGCTGAATCTCATGCTCATATTGATATGCCATAAAACACAAGGAAGATTTAAATGTTTTCATTACCTGGGCTCCCACTGGAGAGCAGGACAGCAGCCAAGATCTAGTTCAGCTCAAAGGTTCTGCAGAGGTTTCTGTCTGGAGGGTTTGCTCTCTAGGGCAGGTCTAAGCTAGAGCTATGAAATCTGCTCTGAAGAGTGATACACCTGGCAATCCTCTGTGCCAGACTTTACTGAACATTTCCAAAAGCAATTCCCCTGGGCCTGATTTTCTAATGTATTGCCAATGTTGTTACATGTCTCAACATTCTGGCACTGCAGAAAGGGTGCTAAAATGAGAATGATTTTAGTTGGTTCCAATTTCAGGGCCTCTACATATGGTAAAAGCAGCTAAAAGGGCCTTATTGCAAATGAAAATCAAGTCCTGACATCTAAATGTCAGACCTGTTGGATATTTAAGCTTTTAAATGACAGCCATTATGTGAGCCCTGATTTGCATCCACACTCATCATCTGGCACAATGAGCAGGGTTTTCAAAGTCACCAGGAAACAAAACATCAGAGGGGTTCTGTGACCTGACCACTGGGGCTTAGAGAAAATATTGAGGTTTTCAGCCTCTTTAAAGAAAATTGCAAGTATTTCTTTCCCATGGAAACTATTCATACTTTGTCTGTGCTTAAAAGCTGTAATAACTCAAGTGGGAGCTGGATTCAAAATGGTATTTTAGTGCTCCTCAGGAGCTGCTGTTCAGGTTATTTCACTGTCCTGGGCTGTGGGTGAGCCTCGAGCCTCCCCTTCCCCCCTGCCAGAGGAACAGGCAGCCCAGGCCCCCCTGCCTTTGCTCAGCTGAGGACAAGGCTGTGCCAACATCAGATGTATTTGGAAACCTGACCCATGCAGGGTATAGAGATTACACATCCACCAAGCACTTCAGAGCAGTTAGAGTTCAGGTTTTTTTCTGCTTAACTCAAATATTTCCTGTAGCATCTGAGATATTTTGAGTTTTGGTATTTAATTCTCATTTACATCTTCCACAAAGAACAACTTTTCATTTTCTCAATGATTCCAGTAACTCTAGAGCCTTTTCCAGTAGTGATTATACATGTTTATTTTTGTGGGGATGTGGGGGCAGTGCTAAGTTAAAATTAAACAAATACCGTCAGTGAGTGAGAGGAAATACAAAAGTGTGGGGAGAGAGAAAGGGCAATTATGAAAGAAAAGGAAGATGAAGAGGTTGAAAATCTCCTTTGTGTTTAGTTTTTCCCCTCCCTTAACAATGCCAGGGATGCTGTCAGCAGAGGAGTGAGGAGTAAGTCAAGCACCAATTAATCAGAGAGAGGAGGAACAGGGCAAGGTGCCAAGACATCACTTTGCAAGATTATTCACTGAACATCTGCCATTAGGACAAATAAGGTGTGATCTCGGGAAATTCTCAATATTGTCCAAAGCCGCAGTGAGGATGAAATTGGCCCTTGACCTGTTCCAGGAACAAGCTGGTGTGAAGAGAAAACAAAGTCTTCCCTTTATCTGCTGAGCCCTGGCTCCTGCTCTGAGGAAACACAGACACCCTCTGTGTGCAGAGGATAAAGGGGCTGAGGAGGTGCTTTTGTCCATCGCCTCAGGCCGTGATTCAGTGGGCAGCAATGGATCAGAAATCAATTTATGATTTATGATTTCCACAGCAGCACAGAATAACCCCCTCCCTGAGTACCAAACCCAGCTTTGCTCCGCAGAGCTTGGCTGAATCCTGGCTGGAGCAGCACCTGATCAGTGCAGGAGGAGCTCTGGGGTGGAAGGGGGCTCACAAATTGCACATCAGGCACTGCCTCTCGCAGCAATGCCCCTGAGCCTTCAGACTTCCCAGATTTTAAACTGGGTAAGTTCTGGGTTAGTTTGAATAGAAACTAACAAAGCCATTGCTAAGAGTTCTGGGCTGGAGGGACCCAAATATGCACAAACACCTCCAGAGATAAAAAAATAATGTTAGACCTTCCTTAGAAGAGAGATTTTATTGTGGATGCTCTCCTCCTCACCCCACAAATACAAAAAGAAACCTTTTAGTGTTGCCACACTCAGATTTCCAGGGTTTGACTTTGGTTATGATTTCAAGAACTATTCTTAAGCAAAATTAAGAAAATGCATGGTTTTGGTAACCCTTATGCAGGATACTGGCTCTGAGAGGAGGTATTTAATAACTGAAGTTAGTATTTTTTGCCCTCCCCAGTTTTCTAGCAAGTTACCCTCCTAACTGGAACCAAGTCCTTGTTACAGGACTACTTCAGGATAATCCCGGTCTGAGCAGAAGTTTTTCTCTGCTATGAATTGAAGGATTTATCTCAAAAGTAAGAGAAAAAAAAAAAAAAAAAGGAAAAATTACCTGTGAAAGCACGTTTGTACCACAGCTGAGCAAGCTGTGCCAGTTTAAATTCCTGTGTGAAGCACTAGGTGGCAACAAGGGACAAGAAATACTCTGAGATGAGGCGTTCAAATTGCCTTTATCCACCCACAGGGTGTAAACATCTGCATGTGCCAGGGGCATGGGACACAGGTATAGGGGAGGAGGAAGGGGGAAGAGGAGAACAGGAAAACGAATCAGCATCTTTTCAGGGCAGATGTTCAGTTATCCTAAGGGATGTCGTGTGAAGTCACCAAATTTACAACCAGGGAAATGTCCACTGTGCTTCAGACTCAAATGCTAGGAAATGTATAAATCAGTCTAAATGTGTAATTTTAATTTCAGACAAAATATTTATATTGCATAGAAAATAGCCAAATTTGGGGCTAAAAAGAGATTATATTGCCCCACCCTTCCTTTTTTCTTGTTAGTGCTCAGTACCCCATCTTTCATTTGGATGTCATTTGGCAAGTTTTGTTATGCAAACATTATCCTCATAATGATTTTGGCATTTTCTCCACGGGCATATGAAAGACAGAGGTCTGGGCTGCAATCACAGAGGAGCAGCTAATAGACACTGGTACATTTTGTCCAGACTCAGAACCACAGGGCATAAATTTTAAAACAGCCTGCCAGAGTCCAGCACAGAAAAGGCTAGATTGGAAAGCCACCACAGCCCAAGCCTTTGGTGGTTAGGAGCAACAGTGTGGGCAAGCAAAAATGCAGTGGTGGGCTGGGAAAAAGGAGAATCTGATCCTGTGAGAAAGAGGGGAAATGAAGAGGCATCTGTTTTGCTAGATTAAAGATCTGGAGTGATACAGTAAGAGCCTTTTGAACTCAGTTACTCAGCCGATTACCTCACAGCAAGAGCAAAACATCACCATTTATCCTCTGTTCAATACAACAAATTAAGTTCAGTGCAGACTCTGTGCAAAAAGAAGAAAACAGAAAAGCATTGCACAACCTCCTCCCCTCTTGTGTTTTGACAGCAGGAAGCGAAACGGACGATCCAGCCATGAAATCTCCTCCTTCCACCATCCTGAAGAACTATGTCATTGTGGGTTCCTCCCAAATCTCAGGACAAGCTGCCCTCTTCCACCCCTCTGGCCAGAAAAGCTGCGAGCCCCATGGCAGAGGCCAGGTAACAACGCCCACCGGGTCCCCTCACCTGGCTGCCGTTCATCTGCCTTTACCTCCCAGCAGAGTCATTGAAGAACTCCACAGGGCTCTGGCCACCAAACACCGGCAGGACAGGTACCTACAGCCTGCAGGCACAGGGCTGCATGAGGACACTCATCCCACCACCTCATTTCTCTTGGAAAATGTTCCTATCCTCTTGTTAGTGTTTTAATTGCTGCTACAGCTTGGGTTTGCCTTCCTCGTGGTGTCACTGCTTGGAACAAACATCCCTGGTTAAAGTGCTTTATTTGGCAGCTATTTCATTGCATGTTCTTCCTTTATAAGGAGGCTGCTGTGGTGCAGGAGTAGGTTTTTAAGCAGGTAGAATCAGGTGATAGTCCCTCATCTACTGCAAGAGAAAATCTTCCCCACAAGATACCAAGTTAGAGCAGCAAAGGCAAATCCTGCTCCAAGTACTCTGCAATGAGAAATGCTGTGATTTCTGTGTCTCTTGGCTGACACAGGAGCACATACAAGATCCATTTTTAATACAAATGTTTTTGTGGGAGTATACTGGGTGCTGTATCTGGGTTTCATTATAAGCCCTCCTGTGTACAGAGGACAGAACTAACCTTTGCCAACCCAGAGCTTTGGAGTGAAGTTGGTAGCATTTCTCAGTTCCCTAACAACGACTGCCCCAGGGAACAGATTCACATGATTTCATTTCCAGGCCCTGTTAGACCTCTGTCATGGTCATACAATATCATATGAATGGTCATATTTCATGCCATGCATGTTTTACATTAGAAGGATGTGTTGTTGTAGGGTTTTTAATCACTACAGTGTATCTTGTGACCATGTGTCAAAGAAAAGCAATATTCACCACCCCTCCATGTCTTATTTTAATGGCAGAGACAGGAAAGTAGATCCACATTGCCATTCTCAACTTGAAAATGCCACCCCATGTTGGTCCATGCTGCACTCCCTGCCCTGCCTTTTATGAGCTACAGGACGTTTTTCTCATTCTCATGTAAGTTTCTACTGCAGCAGTAAAACAATGTTTGTAAAATCTGGGTTGTGCATCTTCCACCCATAGCTTCCATGGAAGAGAAAGCAAAGGCTCTCCAAAAAAAAGGGTGGATGTCCGTCCCTCGAGAACGTCGAGTATGGAGCGCAACAAGGAGAAGGAGAACTCGCTGAGTTATGGCAGTGACTCAGAAAACAAGAGGAACTCAGTTAAAGAGTCTGATGAGAACAAAGAAAACATGATCATGAACTCAGAGCTCAAGGAAGAGTCTGTTTTTTATCAGGATGAAGAAGTTCTGAACGACTCTGTTATTTCTGGTAAGCAAAGTCACTGTAATACAAAGATACACTCCCACAACCAAGGGAATGCTCTAAAGGCAGCAGGAAATATTGGGAAGGGTAAATTCCTCCACTGTCACATCAGCTTTTGAAGGAACCCTGGTGAAAAGCTGAAGTTAAATTGGAGTCCCAGTGATTGTGACTGTCCCCCAGGCGTGGCACAGTGAACTGTATCACTGTGCTTTACCCTCTCAGTTACTGCTGCTCCCTGGGGCTGCTCTGCATGAGCAGCAGCACTCCCAGACATCCCCCTGGGAGCAGCCAGAGCTTTCTGTACACCCAGTGCCAGTGCTGCCCTGTTCTGCAATTTCAGGACTATTTTTCCATGCAGTGATGGTACATGGAAAAGTGATAGAGACCAATCAATCCAGGAAGGATAAACACTTAGAGAAAATATCTTAAAGAATAAAGTTCCTCTCCATCTGGTCCATTTTACCCCTTCTTGAAACATATGGGGAATGCATTTTATAATCCTGTGCAATTATTTAAGTGAGCTTTGGCAAAATAATCAGCTCTCCTTAGAAAATTTGTCATTCAAGGTTTTTAATGTTTTCCATGTTAGTAAGACAGATTCAATCTGAAATGAATACTTCACTCTCTTCATGAATGCATTAAAAGAAGGCAGAGAATAATTTATCAAAAAAAATTATTATAGCAGATGAAAGATGAATTTTAAAAGATGTCTTTGAAAGCATGAGCCAGCAGACAGGACATGAGTTCTGCTGCTGTGTCTTAAGACACCAAGTAACAGAACAGACTCCTGAGGTAAGGAGTGTAATTGCTGTGCATTTAAGGATAGCTTAAGACACAACAAACACCTTTAAAGTTCTACTTTTTTTCCTGGTTATGTGTGTAAAAGGAGCTTCTTTTAATAAAAATTCTAAGAGCTAGAGGCAGCCAGGCAAGAAAAATACATTATCCCCAGCAAGCAAAACCAAATCTGAATATTTAACTGTTGAAGGTGAAACTCTCTATATTTAACAAATAATTATTCACTATTATGATGATAGGAGGGCACTGGTTATTGTACAAGTTTCAGTGATATCTAGAAGTAGCTCTGGGCTTTCCACAATAAGTGGTCGAGCTTTGGAAAATTCCTGCAGCTGAAGGACAGTGCTGCTGTACTGGGGATGGCTGAGGCCACCTGAGAAAAACAGAGTTGCTTTAAAGACATCTGGGCATTATTGTGGCTGCAACAACTCTGCTGCTTGGCACAGAGGATGCTGAGCTCTGACTGATGTCCCAGAGCAAGCTGGGACATTCCCAAGGCATTTCTGGTGTGGAGGCACTGCTGGTGCCAGCATTCCCAGGGACAGCACCAGAACAATTCCCTAAACAACTCCAGATTCCTTCTGGTTTGAAGAGATCTGGGCTGGTTTCCAAGTCAGGGAGTAAAACTATCCATTAATGCTGAGCTGCTTTACAATCCCTGCCCTGCCTTAGCAGTCACCTGCTCTGCCACTGCCACCACCACAGGGCACAGTGCCACAGCCCTGGGGCTACAGGGAGGTACAGAAAAATCACACAACTCTGGAAAAAGTGGGGAATTATGCCTTGGTTTTCCATTCCTACTTAATAAATCCTCATTTGAAACCTCTGAAAACACAAGGCAAGATGAGCTTAAAAAACATTACCAGAACATAGCCCACAACTGATAACTGGTGCAATCAAGGTCTGTCCAGCATCAGGCAGTGTTAGGATTTGCTTTTTGATTGATAGAACTGTGAATATGATAAAAAGAACAGTAAACAGACAGGAAATTAAATGTAGTGATTTGATTGAATTGAAACAGGGAGTTTTTACAGGAACCTGCAGCCTGAACATGAAAAGGGTGTGAATTTCCCAAGCATTTCTTGTTGACCTAGCTGAGGTGTGATAAATCACAAAACAATCCAGCCTGAGATAGATGGTCAGGGGCAGACTGGCTCTGAATGTGCCTGACTAAGAAAAATAATCCTTAAAAAAAGAATACTTAAATAAGGGTGTTTGCAGGTTCAGTTTCTACTGAGGTAGTGATCAGGAAGGAATTTGCCTCAGGATGCTGAAAGTAGATGTGGAGAAGAACAGCTTGGGGCTTTCTCTTTGTTCTCTGGTTTTGTTTTATTCATGTTCACTTATTCTCTTTTAATATATAGATCTTGCATGTATATTTGCATTTTAACCTGTTCTGGTAAATGATGTTTCATTAAGAACAGTCCACCTTTGATTGACAGAGGGAGCTGACACTGTTAATTAGGATTTTGACCCCATTTCCTTTCAAGTCAATGACAGAAATCCCATAGATTAGATCACTTTCCATGCCCCCAAGGTGCCCTGCCCTGGACACTCTGCATGGCCAGTGCTGCAGTTCCTGTGGACACACAGAGCTCCATGTCACAGAAACCTCCTGACATGGCCAAACTCCTCTTATGACCTCTCTAAAACACTCAGGTGAAACTGGGAACGTGTGCAGGGATTCCCAGGAGTTTTCTAGCCCTGAATGTCCCTCAGGTTATTTCCAGCAGGAATTCTGTTGGTTCCTCTGCACCCACTCCCAGTGTGATGAGTGAGAAGCCCTGTCAGAGTCCCAAGTCTGTGGCTTTGTGAGCCAAGTGCTCCTGATGGAGTCAGATATTCAGCTAGCAGAAGGCTCTGTGTGGCAGCAGCCAAATCATTTCACTTCCCTCCCCATCTGTTAAATGTATATCTGCTATTTCAGACAGGGCTGTGTGGTTTAATTTAATTAATGCTTGCAACAGACTGTGAGAGCATTTCAAGGAAGGTGCTAAATAAGGGCACAGCTTTTTAGGCTCCAGAAAGGGGGTTTTGAGCTGATTATGGTTTCTGAAAAGTTTAGCTTTAGATCAATGCAACTACCAAGAGATTTTTCACAGCTCACACAGGGAGACCAAAATTACTCTGCTCCATTCTTTCCAACAGGTACATGTGGGAAAAAGGCTGTACAGACTCCTCCCTCTGCATAAAGAAATTCGAGATCAGTAGTGATAATAAAAAAGGATGTCCATAGATCCCTAACAAATAAAACTTCAGTATTTGAGAATGAGAACCTATTTAGGATTTAGAATCTTGCCAACCTCCAGAGCATGCTTTAAAAAATAGACTTTAATCCTATCTCAAATGCCAAACAAAAATACCAATTAAATGTCATTTTCTTTAAAGATGAGGTGACCTTCTCTAGAAAAGGTGAGGCATTAAATTTAAAAAAACCCAAACCCTTTAAAGCAAAAAGGAACCAAAACAAATTAACCTCCTATTTCACGCCATGCTCCCAAGATGAAACAAAGATTTAACTGCAGTTCCTGCATGCCCTGAGGAATGTTTTCCCTCTGCATTTGCAGGGGTTTTGTGTCTGAGCCCTGCTCAGCTGCAGTGCTGCTTTCTGGCATTAATGTGTACAAATGCTCCTTGCACAGCAGCGCACAGATCTCTGTCACTCTGGGCCATTCCTGCTCTCCAGAAGTTCCTGTCCCATCCCCAGGAGCTGCCTTTCTAATAACTTTCCTTTCAATGCATGCCCCAGGTACTTTGCCAAGAAAATGCAAGAAAGAGCTGCTGGCAGTGAAGCTACGGAACAGACCGAGCAAGCAGGAGCTGGAAGACAGGAATATTTTCCCAAGGAGAACAGATGAGGAGAGACAGGAAATCCGGCAGCAAATTGAAATGAAACTCTCAAAGTAAGTGTTGTGAATGAGAGCAGGGAGGAGCCTCCCTTTACAATGGAGCATCCTCTGAGCCCTGTCAGAGGCACTGCCACCCACCCCCAGCTCCACTGCCTGCTGGGAACCATCCACAAACCAATACAGCACATTTTCAGCTCTCAATCAGCCACTGGAGAAAAAAAATCTTAACTCTTTCTTCAGTCAGGATTGCCTTGATTTCAAGGGAAAACAAGACAGAAGTCAATTTGGGAGACAAAATCCTGCCAAATCTACCTGCAGCTCTGCTGCTGCAATCAAGATTTGGAGGTCCTCCAGAAAAGCCAGTGCTTTAACAAAAATAGTAGTATAATTATTTATCAAGCAGATTTGGCTTTGTCAGCTCAAGCTGAATGTGAGGATAAAGGCAATTGTTAGAGCTGCACATTTCCTTGCCCAAGGGAAAGCTGCTGCACTGGTGGCTGCACTGGTGCTGCCTTAAGGCAGCAGCAGCATTGCCCTCACCTGGGGAAGGTGTGAGTCCAGCTGCAGGCACGGCAGGGATGCTCTGGTTTGAGCAGTAACCAGGGCAACAGGGGAGAGCTGTGAGAGAAACAGCATCACTGTGGTGGGCAGCCTAAAGCAAAGGCTGGAGGTAACTGGGAGGCTCAGGCTGCACCATTTGGGTTTTGTGTGTGCTTTTTAAGGGCTGCATTTGGATATCTGCAAACATGAATATTTTAGAGGAGACAAAGTGGATTGTTAAATAATCTGTGCTGTGCTGCCCACACAGGGACAGTGAGCGCTGCTCACCGCCAAAACGCTTGGAAACAAATTGGGAAACATGAACAGAAATTCATTTTCAAGGCTTATTAAATATTAAATATCTCAAGCTTCTCCTGCAAGAAACATTTATTGATATTTAGACTAACTCATTCATGTGCATGCTTCTGATTAAACTTTACCTCCGGGGACAGGGAATGAGAACAAATGTGTGGATCAGAGCACAAGTCCTAATGGAGCAGAGTTTATGGAGGAGAACATCTCTGCCTTCACCACTCCTGCCCTCAGCTAAGGAACAAGTGCTGAGGGAACACAGAGGAGGTTCTGGGTGCCCTTCATGGTGCAACAGCAGAGATGGAGTTATGGTCCCTCCAGTCTCAGTGACTGCACAGCAGCACTTTGCACCCAAAGGGGAGCAGAGCTTTGTGCCAGGGGCTGCACAACTCAGTGCAGTGCTGACCCTGCCACAGAAAACGTGTACATCCAGACAAGCAGAAAAGATCCCCCTATAATGCACATTGAGTTCCAAGAGTTACAGGCAGAGCAGATGAGAAGTGTGTCCTATTAACCCCCATCACTTCAGGAAGCAAAGATAGGTCTTGATCACTCTGACCTTACAAACTTTGTGCACGCACTTCAGGGAAATATTTCACATTGCACCCAAATATCATTATTTCCATTATTTTAGCCATTTGATAACTCATGAGATATATTCATATATCAAGAGCCTAAATTGATTGCTTTAAAATACACAAAAAATGGCTTCCACCCTACTGCATCCCTAAAACCAATTCAACCATCACAAACTATTCACTGAATGAGAAGATTGTCATACCCAGCCCCATCTCCTATTGCTGAAATGCTTACAAGGTCACATCTCTTTTCAGCCCTGCCTGACTTCTCTTAGTCTGAAAGGTCTGATGAAATTGCAGCTTCAGTTGCTGTAACTACAGCCTTTATCTCTTTATTTTCATTTACCATTTGTCTTGCTTAATAATGAGCCTAAAGAAATGCTGTGAGGGATGCATCCCTGGAGTCAAATGCCAGTACAAGGACTTGCAGAGGACACTGCTGGACAGGTGACAGGGACTGGCCACCACCAGGAGGCAGGAAATTTGCTGTGTGTAGGTGAATGCAGCTAGGGGAGCCTCCCCTGCCTGCTGTGATCTCATGTAGCAATCTGGGGTGCAGCCCATCAGTGTCACTGGTGATGTCTAGAGGGTGGCTAAAAGCCATCTTTGTTCCAAGTGCTGGAAGTCAGGCCTTAATTTGGTTCCTTCTTCCTGGAATGTGGAGGACTGAGCGCATTTCGGGGAACAGACGGCACAGAGATTGCTGGAATCGCCAGGAAAAAAGGCAAAACAGATTGGGAGCAGTCTCCCACACAACTTCCAGCACATATGTGCTGGCAGAGCTCAGCTCAGCTCTTAACTCATCCACCAGAATAGAACACGGCCGTGCAAACAAGCTCAGGTGGTGGATGAATGCAGGAAAATATTTACAACACCAGGAAAAGCAAGTGGGTGTCTAAAAAACCCAACAGCCAACCAACAAAGTTAAAGTGAATTGTGGCTAAGGCCAAAGAGCCAAAGCCCTAGAGATATCCCTTTGGAGTTTCTGATTAGAACTCACCTCACAAAACCCAGGCCACCCCAGAGCCCACACTCGGAGCAGAGTCTGGCTGCGGTGTGGAAATGAAACCAAACTGGGAAGAGTGAAATTCTTGGATGAGCTTTTGAGGTGTTTGCACTCATTCATTTCACTGGTACTTGTGCAGCACGGTCTCTGTGTGACACCCTGGAGGTTTACAGCTAAGGAATGTAGTGCTGGGCTGGGAATGCTGCCTGGGAGATGGGATCCAGTAGAAATGTCTGTTCTCTCCAGGGCTTTGCCACTACCTGTGCAGGAAAGAGCAGCGCTGCTGCTGCAATAGCAACAGTCAGATAACAGCAAATCCACGTGTACCATCAGGCTATAGATCTGTGTTTAGCACAAAGAATGATCTGTGGGCAGATCAGCAAGTAGTTATTCAATGGCTGACTGCATAAGAATGGCACATAACCAGGCAGTTGTTAACAGGGTCGATATTTTTCAGCACAGTTGCAGGAGTTTGATGGTCTGTATCTCTCTAGCAAATTGCCTCAGCCCCACAGCTAACACAGCCTCACTCTGTACTCTGGAGGAAAGGATGTACTGACATAGATAATGTGTAAAATACACCAAATAACGGTGTTTATATAGCTTTAAAAATGGGGAGACAAAAGAAGAGCATCCTCTCAAAACCACTGTATTATTTAAGTGGTTCTGGTTGTAACACATTTCAGCAGCAGCTGTGGACCTGCTGAGAAAAGGTACTCTGCTATGACTCTGATGGGTGTTTATGAAGTCAAAGCTAAAACCCCTATTTTCCTTCACCTTCCCACTCATTCCATCTCAAAAGAGAGATTGGGAAATTCTGTATTTTGAGACAAATTCTACTTTTACAGCAGTGCAAATCTACCGACTTCAGATTTATTATTGACTGACAGCGGCATGAGGAGAGATTCCAGGATTCATTTATGTGCATGGCTGCTTTTGAAAAGTGTATTTCCTGTATTTCGTGCTCCCAGCCAATTTAATCTACCACTTGTTGCCGTGGAAACATGGACTTTTCTCTCCTCCTCCCTCCAAAATGGCACTATTCCAGTTTTCCCTATGCTGTAGTGCTTCTCTAATCCATGCATCCCCAGTGCCCCAGAGCATGGTGAACTCTTGGAATACTCTCCTGTGCATTAGGCAACAGGGCTCCCAACAGGCCTTGGTTCCATTATTGTGTGTTCAGAGCACAGATAATAAGCCCTCGATGGAATTCAGTGAATTGAGAGCTCGTTGTGTCACGAGGCAGAAAAGACATTTGCAAGTAGGATTGTTTGCAGTATCTGCTTCCTGTCTCACAGACACGCTTTGTTCTAGAAGGGGTTTCAGCTGAAACCTGGGGGAGTGAAACACTTGCTAGACTGAAGGGTGACTCAGGAAAAGGTTGTTTAATTAAATTTGATATCTGGCTGTTTGGAAAGTTGATGTTTGAAGTGCCTGGGTGGCTTTTGTATCATGAGAATGTAACCATAGTTAAAGACACTCCAGTATAACTTAATGTCTCAATGAAAATACAAATTCCTTGAAAAGATTATACTTGTAATATTCACTTTGTGTACTGCTTCACCTGTTCTGATATTTGTACAAGTACACATGATGCATGAAGTGGCACTTAGAAGATAATGGGGACAGGAATTAAATACAGAAACGTGGGCAGAGGAGTCAGACAGGAAGAACAAAGGGTTTTTATACACAGAGAGGAACCAAAACTTGAGCACCTAAAGCTGATCTTTAACCACATTGAAAACATTGGCTTGGGGAAGTGGATGATGCTGGACCAAGGTTTCCTGGCAACAAGAAGTGAAGAGGAGGCATCTTTATTCAGTTGCTACCACATCTGGAATCTGTAGGTGTGGTGCTGCCCTGAGGTTCTTGGAGAAGCATTTCTGAGTTGACTCACCCAGGAACTGCAGATGTAGCCAAAAGCACACCCAGATGAGACCCTGGTTTGTCCCTCAGGTAACAAAGTGTGAAGTTCACAGTGCTGCTGGAGACAGAACAATACCAAGCAAAAAGCACTTGAGACTGGCAGCCTAAAAGCAAAACAGTGCCACAGCTCAGCACAAAGCACTCACAAAGACAGCTTCACCTACTGACAGCACAAAAGCTGTGCCATGTTTCCCAAGGACAGCACATCCAGTGCCACTTCTCCACAGAAATGTCTCAGGGCAGCTTTGCTCACTGAAAAGCCATCAGCCCTTCAGACGGTGATACTCAGCAGGGAACTGGGCTGAGTGCACAGAACTTTGGGGAACATTTTGTTTAGATTGACCAAAAAAAGTGGTAAGTGGGAACATGTACAGACTACTGGTAGTCCTAATGCAGAAGTTTAGGAGATGCTGAACTGAGCTAAGCTCACCTGGGGATTAGCAAGGTTTTTCTGATGAATCTCCAGCTGTGCTCCAACTCCCGGTCACTGGACTAAAAACCAGGGAACTGCCCTAATTTCAGAAGGCTGGGAAGACTTGACACAGATTCATTCCAGAGACAGGAAGGCAGCGGGGGCAGATACAAAGAACAGATCAGCTGTCAGCACTCATTAGCTGTGTACAATTTAATGCATTTCAGGAACCATCCAGGTAAGCATCTTGCTGATGCTAAAAATAACCTCAGCAAGCTCA